ACTACATAACGACAAGTAATTTTGGTTGTTACCCATCGAGCCTAAAGTTCTTTTTTGTTTAATCGTAATAGGAATAAAGGCGATTTCACACAGTCGTTTCGCTTATGGAGTTAGTTGGAAGGATTGGCGGTAATGATGGGTTAGGGCGCGTCCGCATCAGATTGCGTTTGGAAATCAGGTAAGGCGATGTTCCACGGAGCCGTTAACGTACACAAATGGGCCCATAACAATTTTATGAAGAGATGATTGCACCGGAATTGAACTCGGCAAATTACAGAAACGTGTACGGTGTGCATATGCAATCATAATAATACTATTACAATAGTCAAATTATAATAACAAAACACAAACGAATGACGAGAGAGATCGTGGTATGTAGCAGGATTCCACCATAGAGGCATTGGATTAAAAATATTATAAGATTGCGGAATTCTGTATCTCGAAATAGCTTCACATTAAGTAAAACTTTACTCCGTAATGAAAAATAACATCAATTGTCACAAAATTAATACAAGACCAAGATTCAGAGTCGAAACTACTCGTAATAGTATAACGTAGCTGAAAATGCAGACGAATTGAGAGCCTTCTCTTTTTGTATTGCATAATTTACTTTTACACAGGGGGCAAACGAGCATGCGGCTCACCTGATGGTAAGTGACTACCGCCGCCCATGATCACCCACAACACTAACAGCATTGCAGGTGTGCTGCCGGCCGTTTAAAATGCTCTTTTTGTATATGCTATGAACGTAAAAAAACTAATAAAAAGGTTGCATTACTTAAAAATGATTGTTCTTAACACTTTTCTTGAAGGTTATGTTGTCGTATCAGTTCGGAAATACTGCTGCTGGAACTTGATTCCAAAGAGTGGTTGGAAAAAATATAAAGAATGCATATAGTTGTATATAGCATTTTTACAACAAAGTAGTATTAATAAAAACATGTAAGCAAATAACTTATAAGCATACAAATATAACAATTATATTACAATTACTCGTTACTTTTCAAGTGTTAAGTAGTCAGGAGAGGTTTAAGTTAATCTACTATTACCTAGTAATAAAGGTTGGTATTTGGTTGATAGCGTGCAAAAAAAAAATGACTAGGCAGTATAGACCATGCTCTTGGTTTGCCAACCTGTATAAAATTAAAGAAAAAATAAATGCTTGTTGAAAAAAAAAGACGAGGCATCGAAGTATTGCGGTACCAGTGGTGGCCATTGTTTCCTTAAAAAAAAATTATAATTGGCTTTCATCAATAGCTACAGTTCAAATTCTTTGGCAGCTAAATCTTTTAGCAAATATGGGTAGTAGGGTTACCAACTTTTAAAAATTTTACCCATGACCTGACTAATGTTGAATATGATATTTATTATCGTAAAACCATTTAGGATCACTAAAAAGATTATCATTATTATCATTCTATCTTTATATCTGCTAGAAACTGCTAGAACGAATGATCTTGAGTCATTTGCATGTACCAATTAATTGGATGTATTTCCATTTTATTAACAGTTTTATTCACAACAAAATTAGGATAGGACCAATGTAAAATTAAATTCTATACATTAGAAAGAAAGAAAGACAAAAATATTTAAGTTCTCAAAGTTGATGGGTAGAAATCCCTTTAAGGCGTAAGTCCACCTGTGTTCTCTTTCGTTATAACCTATTATGTATATTAAAACTTAATGCAAAAAAGCATATACATAAATAAATTTATTTACTGGTCAACTCTACGCTTAATATTAAAAAAAAAAAATAATAATAGTAAAATTAAATTAAAAGTACTAAAATGGTTTACTCAGCTATATGCAATGTTCTTATTGGACATTACAAAAAGCGGTATCAAAATAAATGTATGTAGTTAAATTGTAAACTTTCTTTGTAAACTTTGATGCCAATCGAAAAGCGTTATTCACAAATGTGTTTCAAAATCTACCTGTAAATTGTAATAATAATACTTAAACTATTATTATTAGAAAATTATGAAGATAAGATTATTTATCCCTAACTTTAGGGAAAAGATCCCTATATTGGTAACCCAGCGAGTGTATTCACAGATGCGTATGTTCGTGTCGTTCGCACGCACGCACGCACGCACGTAAGTAACCGTGGAATAGTATTCATGTAGCGCGCACCCACTTAATATTTTGATGTACACAAAGACTGATCGCTTGATATTTGTTTTTTGTTTGTTTTATGTTATTGAAAATTGGTTTTGTCCGCTTCGGCTCACATTCGCGGATTTATTGGGCGTAATTACGGGGTACGGCGTATTGTAATCGTGTTCTCTTTGTTGAACTATGTCTTTTTAGGTTTTTTATCGGTGTTTCGATGCCTTAATAAGACGGTTTGATGTATAGCTTGGACAATTTTGTGTTATTTACGTCATAACTTTTAATGGAAAATGTTTTTAGTAGCAGCAATTTAGGACTTAACGAGTGTGTCTTTAAATCTGTTAATTGAAGTTTTATGTTTAAATTTAACTGAAGAAAGATAATAAAAACGGCGTCAAATTAAATTATTATTAAGAAATAGAGTGCGAGAGGGAAACAATATTATTTTAATGACAAGCGGTATAATGGACTGTGTTTTGAGGAATTTTTTGAAAAACACCAAGTAAGCTGCATGCTCGTTTTATAGAAAAAAGATGCCTACGACCACCTTTTATTATTTACATCGCTTACCATCGACAGGGAATTTATCCTCAAATGCTTGAACGTAAATGGTCACGTACAGTAAGGTTTCAAAGGAATTTTCTCCCTCGAACGCTGGGCAATGAGCTCCCTGTCGAGGTTTTCTCTAGAGACTACATTATGGGGTTTGTAAAAAAGGGCATATTAAGGTTTCTTTAGGGTCGGCAACGCGCACGTGACACCCCTAGTGTTACAGCCGTCCATAGGCTACAATGATCGTTTACCATCAGACGGGTTGTATGCTAGTTTGCTACCTTTGTGGTATAAAAAAAAATATAGAATTATGTCCCGTCTACGTAATTGGATAATTGGCTACGTAATTGGTTGGCGGGGCACCAGTGAATGGTGATAGGTAAGGATGCAACCAGGTCTTGTAATGGGTGATATTGGAATGGTACCCCACTTGCGCTATCGGTGTACGCTGGCGGGGCACCAGCAAGGGATGATAGGTGACGATGAAAGCAGCACAGTTAGCCCATCGTGACGAATTTAACAGTAAATCAATCACGATGGTTTCCAGAGGGAACCGTGTGGAGGTCGACCTGACAGGGTTCATTGCTAGCAATGGAGCTGTGAGGTTCTCATTGCGTTAGGAATTAATTATTCCGTTAGAGATTGTTAAATTCTTTCCCCCCATTATGTTGTGAGAATGTATGGGTGAATGGATGTTGTCACTCTTTCCCTCAAAAACTTCTGAACGGATTTGAATGAAAGGTGGCAGGCGAAGATAGGTAGATAGAAAGATAATTTATTTACATTACTTACAGCACACAAATTACAATAAAAAAAAACATACACATAATACACAGCAAAAGAGATAAAAGAATGAAAATAAAAGAGCACAAATAAAAATGAACAAAAAAAAAACAAAATATATAAACTAACAATCTCCTTTCTTTCCCTTCCTTCGTAATTCAGCTAGTATGTATATAATGTTGAGACTTGAAACAATTTACTTGATACCTTGTTGTGCAGGTAGTAAGGTAGTAGTAAGGCAATGTGCAACTAGGAATTGAATACGGACGTGGATTTGTGGTCTAACTAGGTACTTAAACGTACTGCGTATAAATAAGGAAGGACATGACTGCGCAAATAGCTGGCTAAAATGGAAACATCCACTTAAATTTATTATTACTTAAAGCATCACTAGTTTTGCCTGCGACTTCTTTCGCGTGACAAGAATTTCATATAACAACAGTAAAGGTGCTGGAGAAGAATGGAGAAAATTAGCTGGAGGGATCGTATTAGCAATAAGGAGGTCCTGCTTAGGGTTAAGGAAAAAAGACAAATTATTACAATTATTGAGGACAGAAGGGGGAAAGTGTTGGGACACTTGATACGACACGACGAACTTATGAACATTATAATAGAAGGTAAGATAGAGGAAAGGAAGGAAAGAGGGAGACCGAGACATAGTTACACCAGGCAGATCAAGGAAGGAGTTGGTGTCGTGTCGTATCAAGAGGTGAGGAGACTCGCTGAAAATCTTAGTGAGTGGCAAGAGCTCCACTGACTCCTCTTAAACAGGATAGATGGATAGTACAGTAAAAAGTACTCTGAATATTCTTCTCGAAGCTCGAATATTTCCTGTACACCTTATAATATTGGTGATAACAAATTTCCTTTTTTATATATAAATAAAACATATTTTTTTTCTTTTAAAATCAATGAAAAACTCTCAAAAATTAGCAAGTTGTTTCATTAGAATTATTTTGTTTAATTACGCTAGATTTAGTATGTATGTGACTGCCAACATTCGAAGACTGATCACCACTATTATTACCAAAAGTTTTACAACTTTTTGCATTAGCCATCAATTTCTGAATGCCATTTTGTTCTACCTTTTGGCACCCAAACTTTGAATTCGCAGCCTGACTCCGAGCAGCGATCTAATAATTTGCCTGAAGATGCCTCGTTTAGAGGTGAAACATGTGATGCAAAACGCGCGTGAACAAAATGGTAGTCGGAGATTAATGGCTAATATTGAAAGTTGTGGAACTTCAGGTAGCAATAGTGATGGTCAATCTTCGAGTGTTGGCAGTCGCACAAATACTAATGGTAGCGGAATTAAACAAAATAATTCGAAAATTTGAAACGCGTTGTTTACACATACTTTAAATAAAAAATCGGGACTTAATCCGATGAAAAAATAAAAAAAAAAACGCTGCCGTAACAAACAATCACTTTTACATTTATAATATTTAGTAAGGATTATTGTTTAAAATGTTGTATTGGGAAAAAAAATATTCAGTTTCATTACAGGAAAGGCTTTAAATTTCACCCTGTATAATTAGATTATAAATTCTTACCTGACGTACAGTAGAAGAAATATTAACGACAGCAGCGCCCCCTCGTGGCCGCGTGGCGAGTTGAGTGTGGCCGTGGACGCGCGTAGCGGTGTGCTCGCGCGACGCACCCATTCCACCATGGCTTCACATCCTAATTGTTTCGATGACGATCATTTTGAACACATTCCCATCGACACTACTCGCACCAGAGTTCTATTCCCAGCGCTGGGTTGTGAACGACAAGAGATCAACGATGTAGCGATAGCGACGATGGACGTTTATCGTTAAGCTTTGGCATTGTCATACATTGAATCTGTAACAAAAAAATAATAAGTATAAATACATATTTGGTTGTTAAGAAGGCAAACGAGTAGACGGCCCACCTGATGGAAAGCGGCTATCGTCGCCTATGAACACCTGCACACGAGAGGAGTTGCTTGTTCGTTGCCGGTCTTTTAAATATTTGCAAACTATGTTTGTTTTTGAAACAAAACAATACTGAGAAAAAAAGTAAGAAAGAAACATGAAACTATTTCCTATAGACGTGAACAAGACCAAGATCATACGGAACTGTGATACGCTTATGTGTTGCCATTCCTCAGGATGAAGATGTGACTTCACTGCCATATCTTTTATACCGAAATACAAGCACAGTTGTTCACCGGCAGAAACACGAATGGGAAAAAGGTGATCTGCATCACTTTCAAAGTCTTTCTTTGGAACATCCGAATATGAAGTTATATATTTCTATTTAGTTTTAATACAATCGAGTTTATTATGTACTGCTGTGTGGTCCCGGCATAGACAATGCCACATCTTGCTTTCATGTGAGTGTCGTAAAAGACGACTAAGGGTAAACAAGGGATGGGCAGTAGAAATTTAAAATATCTCCAAGCCTAACTGCGGTTGCAAAATCCCCTGCCAAGCGTGGCAACTACTGGCAAGACCCCACAAGGGAGAGGCTTATGTTCAGCAGTGGACAGTTAAAACTTTTTTTTTATACAACTTAGAATGGCAAACAAGCTGACGGTCCACCTGATGGAAAGTGGTAACCGTCGCCTATAGACATGAGCAGTACCATGGACATAACAGAGTCTCGAATCTGGGTTATGCCCTTCGATGTTCTATGTCTGGTTCCTCACAACACATGGTATCATAGCTCAAGGATACTATATAGCTACTATATAGGCAATTGGTGTGATTGTTAGGCACTTATTTATTGGTGGGAAAAGAGATTATTAGTAATGAGGATTGGCAACCCCATTGCTAGCAATAAACCCTATCAGATCAATCTCCTCGCGGTTTCCCCAAGAAACCATCGTGATTGATTTATTGTTGTATTCGTCACTCTAACTGACCTGCTTCATCCTCATTTATCATCCATCACTGGTCAGTATATATCGATAGTGCAAGCGGAATTACTGTTCTATTACCATTCATTAAAAGAAAATAGGCATTTATTAGTACTTATTTTGAGAAAAAATTGCCACCTATAAGATTTAATCCCGTATTGATTACGTATTAATTTCTAAGCAAACTACCGCACGGTTCGCTCGCTCAGTAGTATTGTGTCATAGGTGCAGTAAAAGATCTTGAAATAGACTTGTAGTAACGACTCGAGATCGACTACGGCTCTGTGTCATATCGCTCACAACTGACGCAACGTGTTGCCTCATCAACTTTAAACAGTGCTAATTTTTGACAAGCCATCAATTTCGTGTTAAAACTGCGAGGTAATAAATTGAGTAGGGTTAAATTTATAACACATTTAAATTATGCAATTTATTACATTTTTCTGTTGTCAAGCTTGATTGTTGAATTTGTGGGTTTGAAGATGTGTCAACAAATTGCTAGCTACAGATTATCAGAGAGAGACTTTGTACAAAAGTCCTTTGCTTGAGCACCTCTGTCCCATTCGTGTTTCTACCGTGAAGCACAACGCAATTGTGTTTGCATGGCTGTGTTTCGGTTTGAAGGGTGGGATATAGCAGTGAATTTACAGGGTACAGAGGAACAATACCCGAGTCCTCAGGAATGGCAACGCATGGGGCGTATCATGGGTGAAACAGTATATTCTGTTATGTCCACGGTACTGTCCATGACTATAGGCGACGGTCACCGTTTTCTATCAGGTGGGCTGAAAGCTTGTTTGCCATTCTAAGTTGCATAAAAAAGTTAGTTTTTTTATTCAATGATAATTCAATAGTGACCTCACCTGCGCTATTGGAATACGCTGGGAGGGGTATTAGTGGGGGATGACTAGTGAAGATGAGCTCGTAGTGTCGAATCCATCAGGAATTAACAATGATAGTTTCTCGCTAATTGCTAGCAATGGGGCCGCTAGTTCTCACTATTAACAGTCTCTTCCCTCCAATTACTAGCTACAGTTACTCAAGATCTTTATATCTTAAAAGACGATAACACGCGAATAGTGCTTCACTCACACATAATAATGGAACCAGTTCAGGAACCATACATCAATAAATATGGCTATATATTATAGTACTATCATACCTACTTGTACAACAATTAGCCCATTACTCTAAGGTTGTCTTGAAAAGATTGCTCTCAGCAATAAGACCGCCTTACTGTACTTATACAATTGTATCGTTGTGTTTGTAAATTGCCTTGCTTATTTCCTATATTGTATAATGCAAATAAAGTATACTCATTCATTCGATCAAATATGACAAGACTGAACCTTATTGGTTACGGAAAGAATAATGTAATTAACATAGAAGTAGATACAAATTGAGACCCATTCTCTATTGGAAGTCGTAAAAATATATACCACTGGCCTACTGGCGTAACCTGGTTACCAATATTTTTTTGTTTGCATTTTGGACTCATTCCAGCGATCATTGCTGAAAATCAGTGTTTTGCTCTTTGAGGAAAATTCCTCATTGAGCTTTGAGCTTTTTTGCATTGCTGAGGCACACACATACAGGTATTACTGTAATCTATATTTTATGTTTCAAAATTTGTACTATTTATTGTTGACTGTCTTTAAATTGCTTTGCAAATAAATTATTTATCTATCTATCTAAATTCTCATAGTTTAATGATCGCATTCATTCTCATCTCTTATAAGACATAAAACATGCAGCGCAAGTTTAAAAGTTAATACAGTAAGATAAACTCACTGTATCATCTAGGAATAGCATGGTAAAGCAATCGGAGCGGTGATGTACGATAATCTTCTCTAAATGCACGACGTGCGACGATAGAGGCCAACAGACGGATACCTGATTGTGAAGAGTTATGTGTCACAGCACCATACGTTTGCTGGAAACTCAGTTTACTCACTAAACTAGTATTTACGTTTGGGGAATATTTTTTTTATACTACAATAATGGCAAATATGGATTACAAGATGTGTCAGTGAAATTACAGGGTATGGAGTTATAACGCCATAGTGCTCAGGAATAGCAACGCACGAAGGGTACAGTGTATATCATATGGTCATATTTTATATTGCCTATGGTTTAATGAAATCGTTTGTCATTTTCAATTGCATATATCAGGTGGATATAATCAGGCGCTGCTTTTTTTATGCAACTTAGAAAGCTGCGGGCCCATGAGCAGTACCATGGGCATAATAGAGAATACTGTTTTACCCATGATACCTCCCATGCGTTGCCATTTCTGAGGACTCAGGTGTTATTCCTCTGTACCCTGCAAACTCTTGTAAATGCTTGTAGGGAGTGATCTGTTTTTATTTCTTACTTGGGGCTGATCACGAAATTTTTAATAAATAACGCACAAAACTTGTTATTCGAATTTTTTTCAGTCGACAACATTTTTAACCTGGTAGTTAATAAGTTTCGGGTTTATTTTGGTTACAAATTAACAATATAGTTTTTTATAAGAGACAAAAGTTAATATTATTATTTAGGTAAATCAAACCATAATATAATTGTGTTAATTCTCGTCTCTCATAAACGATAGATCAAAATCATCACACCAGCCTTGTTCACTGCTAACACAAGCCTCACCTTAGGGGTTTTGCTAGTAGTTGCCACGCTTGGCAGGCGGAATGGCAATTAAGCTTTGGAGATGTTTTGAAAGGGACACTGCTGCCCATTCCTCACCCTCCTTTAGTCGCCTTACGATGCCCACGGGAAAGGAAGAGGTGACGTATTCTATGACGGGACCACACAGGAAGTTAATGTAGTCCTTGTTTATTGTTGATAAATCTAAACTAAACAGGTTTTTCCTTTTTTTTTTAAAGTCGATATTCACAGTATTTTCATTTATAAAAGAAATCTCGATAGCTACATACATAGGTCGATGTAAATTGTGCGTGCATCCAGCTTTTATCTTATCTATGGTATTTGCATCGAAGGATGCGCATTCTATGCAACAAGACCTTTAAAGAGACGACTGAATCTACAGAAACGATAATATAAAATGTGGCAATATTCGATGGTATAGCGGTATAAAGACAATCACCATAGGTATGATGTGGCGTTCACGGTGCTGCTTATGAACGGAAGTATCTACTCAATGTATTCATGTCTACAGGCGATGGTTACAACTTTCTGCCATGATTTCTGTACTATTCTAAGTATTGTAAAAAAATATTTACGGTCACATAACTTGTGATTAGGCTGTATAAGCTATACTCTTTGCTTGTCCATTTTGGACGAATTTTAAAACAACAACAACATTTATGCTCACGAGAATGTTATTTTTATTTTTTACTTAGACTTTCAAAGGACAATCTTATTTTTTTTTTCAATTCAATTAAATTTACTGAATATTTTTTTTTATAAGTCCATTTGTAAATATCTATTGTGACTATATATATTTACATAGCTACGTCTCGAATTGTGAGCCGATTTCCATATTATACAAAATCCAATTACAAACTAAAGCCTAGTTTAGTTGCATATACCAATATGCAAGTTATTTTCTAACAATTAAAGCTGTTATTTCTCTCTGTGGAGCAAGATTGCTTATTGCGAGCGTAGATACGCGATTTCTATTGTCTTAGAAGCGACTGATAGTACAAAACAACATACATTAGTATGAATTACGAATTTAAAAAAATAAAAATATTACATTATATATACTCGTATATATATATAACATATATTTTTATTTATTTATACAAGTATTACTATCAGTTGCCTGTAGTAGTAGCTTTGCATATGAGTAATTTGCAACTCTGTAGTAAGTCTAAGGACATTTATTATATTTCAAAGCAGTATTAGTGTTTGAAATAAAATATTGTTTGTTTTATTTATATTATTTATTTAATCTTATTTACGCTGTAGAAATAACATTACGTACAGCATATATTTTTACAAT